ACGGTCAGAATCAGTTATCTGACCATTTATATAGCATATATTTTTGCTGTACTTGAAGCTCAACGCTCCTGCCCGATCCTTCGCGAATTTTGGCTCCTCTTTTTCACCTCAAGAGTGAGATTGGCTTTTGCTGTTTTATGGGAAAGCTGTCAGTAGACTAATACTCACAACAAGAACCTCACAGGTTTTCGCACCATGCGTACTCCGTAGCGGCCTGCAATTCAGCCATGCGATGCTTCAAGGAAAGGACCCATTCTATTCTACCTTACACTAGCGTTGTTTCCATGCTGCGGAACTTTGACGTTGGCGCTTCCTAAAAATTGAGCTGTTCCACTTACATACTGAAGTTGTCAAGTACTGAACATTGCTGCTTGTTCATCTGACCGTTCTAAATGCCTTGACGATCACCATATTTACAGAGGATGTTTGTCATCGTCACTAGGCTCTGCCATAGCGACGGCAGTGCTTGAACTTATGACTTTTCGGGGACGGCCCTCGGACTAATACAAATTGAGGCAGGTTTCACTGTTTACGCTCAGGAAATAATCTTAAGCAGCGGTTGAACGTATGCCCACATCGCCTGCTTCCACGTTCCGGCAGTGACTTCTCTTCCTGAGTGGATGACAGCAGACACCTTCATTCTTTTCTCGAGGCTTGTGATCCAGTATTTTGGTCGTTACCAACCTGTGCTGGTCCTTTGGATATGTTGAGAGCAGACCTATCATGAGGACGAACTAGTGAAATCTTGATTTCCTGAATGACTGTATCAAGTTTTCCTATAGATCTTTACGATTACCATAGTTGCTAAAGAAATGTCGCACTGTCGAACATTTCACCTTGCTTATCATGACTAACTTATTTTAACGAATTCTTTTGAGGAAGGAATTTGTTACACGATGCTTCAGATCCAGGTCGCGAGGTCGGTTGAGCGTCAGACACCAGTTGTTCCTGAATTCGAGTTCCGGTTGGGGTCACTCGCCTTTCTTCCTTCCGAGGTTGATATGTGGATGCCACATTGTGCGAAGGAAAATGAAGAATAAATATTGTCTGCCACATCGCCATCAACTTTGTCCTTAAAACAAACCACATTTGGCTAATGACATGAACATGAAGATTGGCGCACCCGACGTTGACTTCATGGAAAGAGGGGTGCCAGAATTGGCTGCATGCTGAAATTGTAAGGAAGACCGTCATTCGAACGGTTCCAAACTTCCCTGTTCTTTTCCTTTTGGTTGAAGTCTCGCTTCAGCATTGAAGCAAAGATGGACATTGTGGACAACAGGACTGGCCAGAGCTCCGTCTTTATTCGTGGAGAGACTTGGTAAATGAAGACGTTCGGGTTACGTCAGAACAGTGGCCAATCAGCTGTCGAATATGATCTTAGAAACGACGGGCAACAAGTGATAGTGAAACCGGCTTGGATGAACATTGTGACATGCAGAGTTCAAGCACGATGGTCACCATGGAGGAACTGACGCAGAAAAACGATCTGGGGTCTGTGTCGTTACCATTGTCGACATCATCGTGGAATGTGACTAGTTGCAAAATCGCTGCTAGGAGGCATTCTGTTGACGATCCATTGGCCATTTAGATACGGACAGTAATTATGAGTCATCTGAAAATTTGTCACGTCGAATCGGTGGTCTTCTGGATCTAGTGTCTATACGGCATTAAGAAGTCACAGTTCATCTTCGACGGCGACCGCGCTGTCATCGAGAGTAAGAAATATTGCCCGAGATTTTTGAATCCAAAACGGTAGTATTTTAGAGGTACAGTAATGAGGTACTGAAATTTTGTAATTATACGTATTCTGCCGCATGTGGACACGTCATTGCAGTATGATATTGTACTCTAGTAGTATATTGTTAAGAATGGAGAAAGGAAGCCACTATCGAGGAGTCTCTGTAGGTTTTAAGTTTATGACAGTAAATTTATCTGATATTATATAGGCCTCCGCTGTATTGTCTCAGCACTTAATGTTCTAACGTGGAGGTAATATCTACAGTATCGAAGGAGCAATATAGTTAGATAATCATAATTAATATTTGTACAAAGCATCGGTAGTGATTGGAGCTGTTCCTCTTGCGTGTTTGAGAAGAAAATTTGCTGCGTTTTTTCCATGTCAGATTTCTGCCGTCACGAACGCGGGGGCATTTTCAGACGTGTTCCTCCTCTTCGTTAACTTTGACTCAAGGTTCCACAGAATCGTGGTTGAGTTATTATTAATTTAGCAAATTAGACATTGGTTCGGTTGATAACGTTGACATGTTTGTTTTAATGGAGTGATCAAACAGCGATTGACGGTGGTCGTTGACTGCGGCGGAGGCTCGTGTTTCTTTGCCTTGCCACTCGTTCATTTGGTCGGGCCTTGAGAATATTTTGAGAATTTTCAAAAACCAAGAGTAAAGATATACCAGGGGGCGCTGCTGGGCCATCCATCCGTCGTCCGGGCCAGTGAACCAAACCAAACCGACCCGACCAGCTGCCAGAAGATCGTGGATCGTGGCAAGCTTCGAGGCGCGTTCGTTCGTTGCTCTTGGCCAATCGGTCGGTCGGTCGGTCTGCTGGCCAACTTTTTGATGAGGACGACGACGACGAGGTACCGGCAGCGAACATCACTCACAATTAGCGAGGCTCGTGATGATCGAGGAGCGGCTAAGTTCTTCGATAAAGGTCGCAAATTCAGGAAAATGTCGTCGTCTTTGTCGTATTACTTGTCCTCATCGTCCGTCGATCGCCTGTTCTTCTCCATTACATCTGTTCTAACTCCT